TAAACAGATGAGTTTTAAGGGACTTTTTGAAAATGGACGAGGTTTCACTATGACGTATATGGAAGGGGAGCTGGTTCCAGAACGTGGGCCCATGGAAGCAGAAGGAGCGTTCACCGATGGTCTTAGTTTTAGTTCTTGGGATGGAGAGGGTTCTACTGTCAATGGAAGAACGTAGTTGTCTTGTGGGGATGTAAGGAAGCAACAGTTCAGAGAGATAGACAGGAAAGTGAGGGTCAGTGAACGAGTTGAAACAAAGATTGGAAGACTTGTATTTGATGCGAAAGGTATTCAGGTATATATAGCCAGAATGATCAATTCATTGATCGTGGACCCTCAAAATATAGAAGAAGAAGAAGATAAATACTTCTCAAAACTTAATGATGTTAGAAACGTAAAAATCATTATATATATCAGGTCCGGCGCTAGGAGGGTGCGGGGCCTTGGGCAAATTGAATTTTGAGAGGCCGTTGACGTTACACATTCCGCCTATAGGATATTAAGAAACGTTACAGTCCTTGATAATCCCCTTTCGTCTGCTTAATATGCGCCCAGAGGTCTTCCCGAGATTCACCTCGAAGGGATAGTATGGGAGCCCGACTGACCTTCAGACCATTGGACTATCTAATAACTCTGAACATTGTGTTGACTGGATTAGGAACTATTAGTAAGCTTAGGTATATTATAAATATACTATGGCAACGCGCGGGGGCTCACCCACTTCGCCATCCGCTAGCGCCGGCCCTGATATAGATACTTCTATTTAAAGTAAAGAATTTTGATGCGTTTTTGCAATAGCAGGTAGAAATTAACGCAAATGACCTACCATTATTATCCCGATAACATCGGGTCATATATTCTAATACTAATACATTATAAAGAGTTGTATTAGTCAAGATCGTTGGTTTAACCTAAAGCCTTTAGGGTGTCATTACATCACAAGATCATGTGTTTGATCTAAACGTGGCATATATCACAAGGTAATGGGTTTAACCTATACATGGCATGCACAAGATCATTGTTTAACAATATTTGAAATAGTTTTTCAATCCCAACCTCTCACTTCTGGTACCCGGGTACGAATTGTCGCAGCCATTCGGATGTCATTTTTGGTAGTTTATTTTAGTTAAACTGAAGAAGTAAGCTTACAAACGTATAGTCCATTCAATTATCTTTCATTTGATTCCAAATTTTGTCTTACAACCGAACAATAATTTATTTATTTATTTTTTTTTTAATTTTAATCCCAACCTCTAGCTTCTCGGACCTGGGTCCGAATAGCAACTTGGTATTAAAGATGTTACCCGCTATCCATAGTAATAGACAGCAATTGGGTGTGTTCATTTGAATTTATGATATCCTTTTTTCTTTCTTTTTTGTATCGAAAGAAAAGAAACATAAATCTAAATTATTTTTGAAATTGAGAACTCTATTATAACTAAATTTGAAAAATAAATATTTTTTTCGTTAGTGAATCTTTAAGAACATTTTTTTTATTTTAAACCCAACACTAAACTAATATAAAATACTTAAAATCAAACATCCTGCACAAATATAAGTATAGTTTAAAGATGGCCGCTTTGGGGACAGTGTTACGAAAGGCCACAACATTAGGCTTACTAAAAAGATCAGTGGTTCGTCATGGACCTGCCTGTTCACTTCCTCGGTAATAAATTTAAACTATGTATTAATAAATCATATTGCTAAGATTTGCTCGTGATGCACTTGTCCACAGATCGACGATTTTGGTTTGTCCTTGGCGTATTTTGATAGTTGGAATTGAATTGTCGGCTTTATGTTGATTTCCTTTAACTTAAATTATTGAATGTTTGTTTCGTTAATATTGTTAGTCTTACCGCTTGTGTTACCGTTATAACTGCTGTAATTCATGTTCCATTTTTGTATGTTATTCAATATGTTATTTCTGCTGCAATTTAGATTAGTCAATTGCTCCTATTCTAAACAATTTTTAAATATTGTTGGTAAATTAAAATTTTGAGTTAGGGGTATGAGTTTTGCCAAGAGTTTTCTCACCCTAAGGGCAGTGACGTCACTTAGGGAAATCCCAACACTGGACTTAACGTGAATAGACCTATTCTTTGAATTTGAAGGACACGAACGATGTGTGTTATAACATTCCTGTTCTTTATTGACCATTACGGTGTCATAAATGATACAGTTAATATGAGTATCTTGAAATGAAATTTGTAATTAATTTGTAATAAAATTCAACTTACACGTTTCAAAAGAAAGCAAAAAAGAAACACATCCTTGCTATACCTCAAGACCCAACACCGGTGGGAAAAAAAAGACGCCTGCCAAAATTGCTATATTTTGATTTGTTGAAATAAAAATACCCATATGTTGAAACTTTGGTAACAAACCGGAGACTACTGCTTAAATTGCATTTGGAATGATCTTCTAGGGACTGGGGAGGGGAGACCCCTCCCCTCGCTTAAATACCAAAATAAGAAACATAGAAATTCTCTGGGGAATACCCCTCCCAAATATAACACACAAAAAATACAATAAGAAAACAATAACTTGCATTATGTAACTACAAACATCGAAATCTATTTAGTATGGTACTGTAGAGGGCGCTGTAGACGGAAATGGACCTTGGGGAACCTCTGTGACCTTATATACCCTGGAACACATCGTCGGCCTTACCGCTAACTCAAAATCAGCCAAATTGTTTGGTAAATGTTGATACTTCGCACGCCACTCATTTCACAAGGCCGGCATATTGGTTGCCATGATGGTAAAAGTTTAATGGCGACCAAGATGGCGACAATTTTAAAAAAAAGGAGTGCAAATACTTCCGCTTAAATTGAGAGGGGAAAGAGAGAAATCTTTTTTAGCAACTTGCAGATTGTCACAGATGAGATGGTATTATGAGGTAATGGCCGTACTTATGGTCATGTACCACGTGGTTTTGGTGGTGTTATGAATAGTACTGGGCCGTTCCTCTCTGTGATGGTTCACTAATCCAGGCGTTGAGAAGTACGACCAAGAGAACACAGAACACGAATGAATGAATAAACAACTCCTCATTAACAGTTATAAGTAAAAGATGTATTGATCACTATAATAAGATTGTAATGTCTCCTTTCTAACTGTTAACACTTCGCTATCTATCCCTAATTCTATCTCTGACTACGGCTAGTAATACTACGTCTGTTACAACAGAACGACCGTCCACGAATCTCTCCCTCTCCTTATGCCACGAAGAGTTCTATGTTATATACCATTCTCTACCTCCCTAGGTGGTCCAGGAATGCTGGCAATTAACCCATCTATACCCCCCTCATTTCCGGTCAATTAGGAACTTCCGTCGTCAACCCCAAAGTTGTCACACGAAGTCTGGGAAATCCGAGACATAATGTTATGGAAAGAAGCATCCCCTTAATCTAAAAGATACGAGAATGTATTAGCCTTACCCCCATGCGCCCAACAGTTCCCTCCCTAAGATCACAGCAATTTCCGTTCATCCCATAAGTTATCTGAAGAACAATGGAGCTCTGTTGTTAACCCCCGACCCAGTCATTTGTGACATATGTCCCCCCTTCAAGAAATTTTTCAAAAACTGACAAATTTCATAACTACCCAAACAAATGACTTTCCATAACTCATACTACGCCTCCCCTTCCTACTGCGCCGCCTTGTCTCGTGTTGCCTACTCTAAACGTCGTCATAGGTAACATCAGTCATAACCATGCATGGTAATCAATAATAAAACAAAATAATGTGAACATAAAATAACATACAAAATGCAATATTTAAGACTAAAGTGTCTTCGTAAACATCTGCTCCGTCTTAGATTAGTAAGTCCGTGTCTCCTTCCCACACACACAATGTCGAGGAACAATTAAAATATAGTCTTAAGTCGAATCTCGCCATGACGTAAATCTCAGAAAACACAAGACTCTAACAGCAAAGTCTACTTAGAAAGTCTGCCTCCACATTATTCACCCCAGCAATGGACTGCAGACAAAAACTGTAGCTCTGTAGAAACATGGCCCATCTCATGATCCTAGCGCTCACGAATCGGGCCGTGCTAAGGTACTGAAGTGGCTGATGGTCGGTTTGTAGGATGAACTGCTTTCCGTAAAGATATAGTTCAAACTTCTTTATGGCCCAGACTATCGCCAGACACTCTTTCTCGATTGTAGAATACCTGGTCTCTCTTCCCAAGAGCTTCTTGCTAGCGAAGGCAACGGGATGAAGTAACCCGTCATCATCTTCCTGAAGAAGGGCAGCTCCAAGTCCCACATCAGATGCATCGGCCCTCAAAACAAAAAGTTTATCCATGTTGGGGATGCGTAGGATTGGACGTGTGGTGATCGCTTCTTTCAGGGCGTCATATGCTTTTTCCTGGTCGTCTCCCCATTTTACTTTGTCTGGTTGACCCTTTTTAGTCAGAGCCGTTAATGGGGAGGCGAGGGTCGCATAGTTTGGTACGAAGTCCCTGTAGTACCCCGTGAGACCAAGGAAGGAACGGACCTCCTTTTTCGTAGTTGGTCTCGGAGCCTGCCTGACTTTGTTAACGTTTTCTTCCTGTAGCCCCAGTGTTCCCAGTGATAATTTGTGTCCCACGAAGTCCACCTCGACGGCCCCAAATACGCATTTGGTGGGCCTCGCAGTCAGATTGGACACTTTCAAGCGATTAAATAATTCCTTCAGTGTCTCTAAATGTTCTTCCCAAGTACGGGTGTAGATTAGCAAATCGTCCACGTAGCTAATCACGTTTTTCATTCCATCTAGCAGTCGTCGGGTTGCCCGAATCAGCGTCGCTCCAGAATTCATCATTCCAAACGGCATTCTCAAAAACTCATAATGACCATCTGGAGTCACGAATGCCGTTTTATGGATGTCCTTAGGTTCAACGGGAATCTGCCAATATCCTTTGCTAAGGTCAATTTTGCTGAAATATTTAGCTTTCGAAGTGTTATGGAATATTTCATTCGGTGAAGTCACTGGCACTGGATCAAAAACAGTTATCTTGTTTAAGCCCCGATAGTCAACACAGACTCGGTTTGAGCCATCCTTTTTCTTCACCACAACCACGGGAGAGGCATAAGGTGATGCGCTCTTGCGGATAACACCTAGATTCTCCATTTCAAACAGCTCCGCCTGGAGGGTATCACGAACAGCATAAGGAATTGGGTATGGCCTGGATCGGACGGGGGCATCCGATGTCAGTTTGATAGAGTGTACACTCAAATTAGTGGCCCCTGGTCTGTCAGTAAAGATCATCTGATGTTCCTTTATTAATTCAGTGATTTGTTGACGCTGTTCGGCGGTTAACTGCTCGCCATACCGTACATCTTGGTGTGACTCTTTCTGTGACCACACCCCAAGTTCAGGCATAACCTCGGTGCGTCCACTTTCGTCATCCTCTTCATAGTCCTCTATCACTCCGACGCTAGCTACTAGCAATGTCTCTGATTTTTCTTCACTTTGAACACAATCAATATTCTCAATAATTGCCTCTTTTCTTTGATTTGTGCCACGAGACACGTATTCCTTCAGTAGGTTTGCATGAAACGTCCTCTTTTTTCCCTTCATTTCGACACAATAGTCACAGGGCCCTACGACTCCGGTTATCAGATATGGTCCCTTCCACTGCATCAACAATTTGTTTACCTTGGTTGGAAGCAACACCAGAACCTTGTCACCTACCACGAATTTTCTAACTCTCGTCCCTCTATCATAGTAATGTTTGTATCTTCCTTGGGCTTTGCTTAGCTCCTCTTGAGCCAACGTCAGTGTGTCATCTATCTTTTTTCTTAGATCAACTACGTACTGGTAACTATTTCTCACCTCTTCATCTCGAATATCTTGGGTCCACAACTGTCGTAAGACATGCATAGGGCCTCTGATGCTACGCCCGTAAAGCAGCTCAAAAGGAGAAAATCCAGTTGACTCTTGTGGCACCTCCCTATATGCAAATAACGCTGCGTTTATAAAGCGATGCCACTGCCTGGGCTGTTTGTTACACAAGCGTTTCAACATGGTTTTTAATGTCCCATTGAATCTCTCGACTAATCCATTACCCATGGGGTGGTAGGGTGTAGTGGTAAGTGGTCTGATACCCAGCATCCTGCTCACCTCTTTCATACACTCCGATGTGAACTGTGAGCCTTGGTCACTTAAGACTTCTTCAGGGATTCCCAAACGACTATACATGTCCACTAGTGCCTCTGCGACGGTCTCTGTGTCGATCCTTTTTAACGGTACCGCCTCCGGATACCTGGTAGCATAGTCAACAAGTGTCAAAATGTAACGGTGACCGGCTTCACTTGCCGGAACAATAGGCCCTATCAAGTCGATGGCCACTCGTTTGAAAGGGACGTCAACCACGGGGACTTTTTGCATTGGAACTCTTGGTACTGATCCTTTCTTTGTAGTTTTCTGGCAAATATCACATGACTTGCAGTACTCCTTTACGTCACTGCTCATTCCTTGCCAAAAGAAATTGCTCAGGATCCTCTCCTTTGTCTTGCCAACTCCAAGATGACCACCAGTTATACTGTCGTGTGCAACTGACATGACTCGCAGCCTGAGAGACTCTGGTAATACAACTTGTCTGATTGTGCCTCCCCGTTTCTTGTCTTTGAAAACTCTATAAACTATGCCATCTTTAACATCAAAGACCGAATTGTTCCTTTGTTCTGAATCATCCTCTAGAGGCAGCGAGCGAATGACAGGGTCGTCTTGTTGCAGCTGTATGAGCGTATCACGACTCACCTCCGGGTGCGTTTCCACAACAGGAACTTTTAAAGGCGATACATCCTTGACCCTTTTATCTTGCGCCCTGGTTGTCACCATGGCCACTGTCATTGTCTTATCTGGGTCATCAGCACCCCTCGCGCCATCCACGTTCCCCACTATAAGGTCCACTATGGATTTCGAAACACAGAACACCTCTACTTTGCCACTAAGGTACGGCGTTGCTATGTCGATGACTGCCTTTTCTGCTTTTACAATGTCTGTGTTCATTAATTCAATGAATCCTACTCCACCTGTTAGCTGGTCATCCCTTACATACTTCCGCTTAACAATTATTGCTTCACACCCAGTGTCTCTCAGCACCTCAACTTTAGTAGACCCGACCAAGCCTTCTAGAATCGGCAAGTTCCTCTTCTTTGTCGTTTCATTGTCTTGCTCACCGATCTCCCCACCACATTTGACATCTATCTCACCGATCTCCACACCACATTTGACATCTATCTTTGTGTCAGTCTTTTTATCTCCTTTGGACAATCTTTGACTTTTATTTTGTCGCCTGTTGCCTGCAAGGTGCAGCCCAGGACTAAATAGTGCTGATGCAGCCATTTTGGACTCAGTTTTTCTCGATTCACTTACATTAGGGCAGTTCCTCGCAATATGTCCACTCTTATGACAGACAAAACACTTGAAGTCAGGTTTCGTCTGTCCCCTAATGCCACTATATGCCCTCATTGGACCAGACCATGTCTTCTGCTCTTCATCTCCTCTATTGCTCGTAGCGTTTCTCCTAACCTCCAACTGCGACAAGTGAGGCTTATCATTGAAGCCCCTCCTCCTTGCCTCGAGAAATAGCTCTGCTACTCTCGCTACTTCATCAAGACTATCAATTCTTCTCTCTTTTAAGTGAGTAGCCAAATCAACGGGACACACACTCATGAATTGCTCCTTGATGAACATGTCCATAATACATTCAAATGTATTCTCTGTCTTCGACAGACTAATCCACTTCTTGAGGTAATTCCTCAACCTTCCGATAAATACGGCCGGACACTCGTCTGCCTGTGGCCTACTCTCTCTGAACATGATTCTGTATCCATCCTCTGTAAGGTTGTATCTCTTTAGCAGCACCTCTTTCACCTTTTCATAATCTAGTGCATCTTCATAGGGCATTCTCGAATACTCCTCTAAAGCACGCCCAGACAGAAGCGCGCTAAGTGACAGCGCCCAGTCGCTTACTGGCCATTTGCTAGTCTTGGCGAATAGCTCAAATCTGGTGAGCCATCCATCTAATGGATCCACTCCATCTACGAAAGGTGGAAGCTTGGGCTGCTTAGGTCGACTATCAGAACCGTTGGGACTCCAACCACTGGCTTGTTCCAACCTCTTGGCTTCTAACATCGCCTCTCTATCAGCCGCCCTCTCTGCCGCCTCTCTATCAGCTGCCCTCTCTGCAGCCTCTCTCTCAGCTGCCCTCTCTGCCGCTGCTCTCTCGGCGGCCCTCTCTGCCGCCTCTCTTTCAGCTGCTTTCTCCGCGGCTTCTCTTTCTCTAACAGTATTCACCTCTCTCTCGATGTATTCTTTCCTCTCATCTCCTCTAAGCTGTAGAGCATCTACTAAAGCCAATATCTCACTCAAACTTGTAACTGGCATCTTCGTCGTCCTCTCGTTGTGTCTGGACCCCGGAAACGAGCCCCCAGAATGTCACAGATGGGATGGTATTATGAGGTAATCGCCGTACTTATGGTCATGTACCACGTGGTTTTGGTGGTGTTATGAATAGTACTGGGCCGTTCCTCTCTGTGATGGTTCACTAATCCAGGCGTTGAGAAGTACGACCAAGAGAACACAGAACACGAATGAATGAATAACCAACTCCTCATTAACAGTTATAAGTAAAAGATCCCCCTCATTTCCGGTCAATTAGGAACTTCCGTCGTCAACCCCAAAGTTGTCACACGAAGTCTGGGAAATCCGAGACATAATGTTATGGAGAGAAGCATCCCCTTAATCTAAAAGATACGAGAATGTATTAGCCTTACCCCCATGCGCCCAACAGTTCCCTCCCTAAGATCACAGCAATTTCCGTTCATCCCATAAGTTATCTGAAGAACAATGGAGCTCTGTTGTTAACCCCCGACCCAGTCATTTGTGACACAGATAATAGGAAAATATTTTAATTAACCACCCACTGAAATTATAATTTAAAACATTCCATCGAAGTATTAATAGTTTTAAAAAAAGAAATGTTAACTCTAGTAACAATCCAAGAATAAACAAAGGCAAAGAATCCCGCACTCAGAAACTCGAATTATGTGCCAAAGCAACATTAGTAATTAATCAATCGTCTCTTAGTAGTTAGTTAGATTTTAAAAAATAATTAATTATACAAATATTACTACATGCATTACAATTATAGTTGTAGAGAGCAAACTTCAAATTTAAAAAAATGAACAACAATGAACTTTCAAGCTTTAGTACCTTTTGAACTATGAATTTCGAATTCGTTTGGTAATTTTGACTATCGACTGCACCTCCACATCTTGTGACCCAATTTGCGCTTATTGCAATATTGCATCACTGGCTATATCTCTAAATTTAATAAATGTTATATGCATGTTCTGTTCACTAAGGCGTCCTTTATATTATATTTATTGACTAAAGAATACTGGTTTGAAACTACATATTTTGACATGTCAACTTTTGCACATAGCTAATTAATTAAAGTTCTCCTTGACCAATGATTAAATAGTGTTTGCACATGGCAGTCTCTTATAAATGAAACTATGAGAATAATACTATAGTAGAGTACATGCAAGTGACTGAAAGGTTGCCCATGACTCATGACAACATTTTGCACACTTCAAGTTATGATAATGTATAGTTTTGACTCTACCTGGTTTTAAACCTCAAATTAAAATATTTTTGTTTAACTGTCTTCTAATTTCACTCTAGAACACAAGTTACCAAATATTTTGATGCGAATAGTGGTAACTGAATATTCCATAAATATTGGTATCTTCCGCCATTAAAAAAGGGTTCGTGGTCAAAATTGGCTGAGCGACGTAATAATAATGAAGGTTACTGGAACGAACATAACTAATGGCTGACATGTCAATGAGGATTGGCACACATAAACATCAATATATAATGCTGAGGGAGTTTTAATATGAAAGACATAGATTTTGAACTTCTTTAAAATAGGTTTTAAACAAAGATGCCTTATATAAACCTAGGAATTTCCAGTATTGGGGTGATTGAAAAGGAAAAAATTACAATGGAAATGTAGGCCAAGATGTCCACTACTCTAAACTTGTAGATGAATAACACAATTTTATGACAAAATAGTCCTTTCATCAATGAAAAAGCACTAACATCCAAAAATTAAAAACTCAGATTCTTCTGTGACGATTTTAATTTTGAAGAGTGTCCCTTACTTTACAGAAAAAGGCCTATTTGTATTAGTAGGGACATCGGTATTGCCCCACAACACCAGAAAATCGAGTATCATAATTTCGTTGTCAAAATGGGGACCTCCACTTTTAAATTTACTATGGGTATCATTTCGCCTTTAGCAGTCAATCATTTGCATTATTTAGATATTCTACATCCACCCATTTCTTTTAGCTAACATCTTGGTTGTTCAACTGATAATTTATTTGAATGTTCTTTTTTGGGATTAAGCTGTGAAAATTGAAGTTAAAAATAGGTAAACTTTACTGATAAATAAATTTATTTAAACCGTTTGATTATTTTCTAACGTTGCAAAATTTATTATAAATTATGTCGTTTAAAAGATATCCAAAATTCATGAGTATAGACCATAGGTAAAAGGGTCAAAGGTGAAAAACAAAGAGTTCACTATTTTAGGCTATGTAATTTGTCACAATAACTCATTTAATTGAATCTTGAATGGAAAATATAGCTTTAAAAAAAAACATTTTAAATAAATAAAAAAATGTTTTATAACAAATAATTATTGGCTTATGAAATATCAGTGTTTTTAATTTTGGAGTTGGTTGCCATGAACATGGTATGGATAAACACTTGTCTTTGACTTACTAACTTAGATAGGCCTATTAGGAGTCTTTTAATACTATTATATAAATAGTAATGTAAGTAATCTATATAGAAATATTAAGCTATTTATTGTTTTTATGTAAATTTAAAAAGAAAATTAATTTTGATATTGAAATATTTATTAAATATAAGATGAAATGCACCTCAATTAAATATTTCACCACAAAATATTAAGCAATTATACTTCTACTAATAATTTCTAACAAGTCATTAATTTCCACATGTGTCCTCAAAAACAAAATTAATAATACTAACACAACACATTTGGCCCAAAAAATTCCACAATACATTTTAAAATGTTCCATGGCTGAATAAAATTATAATTAACAGATACAACTTTCAAATGAATATCAGCAGCTTAAGACTTGTCTAAAATTTAGATCCTGTCATCATAGCCTACTTAATGTTAATAGCCCCAATGACTCCAAACAGTATCAAAACTTTGCTTCAGCTCAAGGAACCAAAAATAAGGATAAAATTATGCATCTTTAAATTTAAAAATTTTGTGAGCATACTCCTTGATTATATTGGTGTGAGAATCACTGATAATGGTTGTTTCCTGTCATCATAGCCTACTTAATGTTAATAGCCCCAATGACTCCAAACAGTATCAAAACTTTGCTTCAGCTCAAGGAACCAAAAATAAGGATAAAATTATGCATCTTTAACTTTAAAAATTTTGTGAGCAGGGCATACTCCTTGATTATATTGGTGTGAGAATCACTGATAATGGTTTTTTTTTCTACTTTATTAATTTAAAAAATTGCAGCACCTGCTTTTTTTAATTAATAAGTTGCAAACTCATACGAAATTTGAGCATTGTATCTTTAACATTTAAGAAGCTATGATTAATTTTTCATTCTAAAAATGTGCTGTTTATTGAATTTATATAGTTCAAAATAGTATCTTATGTTTAAAATAATTATTTAAAGAGGAAAAGGCTATTCTGAAGTATATTTTATACTTTCATTTATTAATATATAATAGCCATAACAAATCCTGTAAACATGACAATTTATAGCAAGAAATATGGGGGGCAAAATGGGTAGGAAAACTCAATGGTAACCCTCTCAATCCCAAGAACTAAAACTAAGACAATCGGTGAACGCTCCTTCTGCTTCCATGGGCCCACGTTCTGGAACCAGCTCCCCTTCCATATACGTCATAGTGAAACCTCGTCCATTTTCAAAAAGTCCCTTAAAACTCATCTGTTTGGGTCCGCCTATGACCTGTGATGCACCCTCCTTGCCCTACCTCATTTTCTGTTTCGGGTTGATCCTGAAGTGTCAAAGTGTCCTCGTTTTATAGCCATTTTCATTGTTTCTATAGAATAGTAGTTACTATCCTAGTGTCTCATTTGTATTTACTTAGTTTACATGTTTTAATAATTGTAAAGCGCTTAGAGCTTTATGATAAGGGCTATATAAAAATGCCTAAATAAATAAATAAATAAATAAATTGAGGTTTGCACTAGTAAATTCATAACTACTGAACCACTTGAGCTAGAAAGTTGATCTTGATGCTTTTGGGTTGTTTTTTTTCAACTGTATGCCATTTATTTTTTTAGAAATATTTTGAAAATTTCATTAAAGTACCTAGTATTAAATTAGTATTATTAGTTCTATGTTCTTAGCCAAATAAATGGCAGCCACAATTAATAGTTTCACTATATATAGATGAACCATATTTGCTGTGTTCCACTATAAATTGTATACATTGGAGCTGAAAGGCAGACAACAAAGCAAGTAGCAAGGTTTTACCAAAACACTCAGCTACTCTGACTCGGGTCTATGTGACTACACATACATTATTAATCATTTATTCATTTTTTAAGTATTTTTAATATTGTCTTATTGCAAAAAAGATACCTCATTTTAAAGGGCTAGCTACAAGCTTTCCAAAAAAACACCAGGTTCAACTATCTATCTCTTATAATAGTGGAGTTATGTTTTTTTGTTGAATCTTTTAAAGCCCTTTATATCAACTATATATTTTAATTAAAAAACTTTTGACCCACTTTTCAAATTTCTGCACCATTTTCCCACAACTTTTTATAATTTTAAAGATGATTGTACCAAATTGTCAGAAATTAATCACCATCTAATGTACAACACAGTAACCTGAAGTTTTATTTAACATTAAGATTTTAGAAGAGGGAAAATTAAAAGATTTCTGAAAAGAAGAATGGGATGTTTGTTTTTTCAAATATATATATTTTTGTTAAATTAAAATGATTAATAAATGTAGGTTCTTTGGATTTTAAAAGTTTTCAAAGTGGTTATATGCATTAAATTTTAAATCAAAACTAATACTAGTATTTATGTGAATGAAGTGTGATAAAATCCTGCAAACAAAAGTTGGAAAATAATTTTACAAATTATTAAAAATGATCGCAAACAAACAAATTGTGTTAAATGTAAATCATTGAATAAAACAAGCATTAAAATCATGCTAATATTGGTTAGTAGCAGTAAATTAATTTTATAAATTAATGCATGAAATTATCAATTCAAATTGGGAAAAATCTAGCTTAAAATTAAACAAAAAAGTCCACTGTAAGAGTGTCTGTGATTATAATTATACGGCTAATTGGGAATTTTTGTACCTCCACTGCCCTATGCCGTTGATTGGCATTGTCCTGTTGAGGGGGCTTGTGTAAAATATTATATTACATGGAATTTTTTTTGGATTATTGTTCTTTTACCCATTCTTTAAGAACATGCGTGGAATGTGAGTATAATAAAAATAACTTGTGTAATAATCTGATAATGTGATGACTTTACTTCATACAAAGATAGTTAATATTTCCATACCACAAAGGTAAGCAAGTACATCTAGTGCTCGACTTACGACCTATGCAACTTAAGACCATTTGGCTTTATGACTACAATCTCTAGCCATGCTGTATTAGATTTCAGATTTATTTCTGCCTCAATTATCAGTCTGCAATCATCGGCGGTCATGAACATTGAAAATTATGATTTATAACAATAATAAAAGAAATTAATGATTTAATTTAGTTTAAATATTTTTAAAACATCACTTCGCATTACTGTACACATAGCGTACTCAACTTACAACCAAATCGTGTTATGACTAGTCTGTCGGAACCGATCGTGGTCGTAAGTCGAGCACTAGCTGCATGATTTTTCTTTTTAGATGGCCCCTAATTAAGAACGTCAATATTATGCATATAATTAATTTAATTCGCTATTTTTTTATTTGTAAAATGTAAAAATTATTACATTAGCAAAAACTAAAATCATGTTTTACCCATGGAAATAAAAGTATTAAAAGCTGGTTTTTAAAAATGTAGGTCTATTTAAGACCTGCACAGTGATTTTAACATAATAAAAATAAATAGCTACCCTATATAAATTTATGTTATATTCATGTCTAAAATTTAGTAAAATAATGCATCTTTATTATTAACTACTTAGATTTGTTCATATGTTTATGGTTCCAACTATAATAAATAACTTCATAACTATTGATTTGATCTTAATAAGAATTAGAGCCATTTCTGGCATCTCGTAATCAACGTTTGTTTTCTTATGGAACCCCCAACCACTTAAGGAGTGCATATTTTTTTTTAAAAATTTTGTGATTGGTCAAATAATGAATTAAATATGTAAAATTAGGGAAATTGATGTAGCATCACTGCAACTTAACCCCATTCTTCTGCAGTTACTAACCAAAAACAAATATTAAGAATGTGATCAAAACTACCAAATGTATACTATATAGCTATGTGTGGTGAAAAAAATAGTATACATTTCAGTAGTATCATTGTAACATAAATGTTGCAACGTCATTGAGAAATCTATCAATAATTTTGTAAGATTGTCCGTGATGTAGAACGCATTAAAACAAAATAGAAACCGTGCCACAAGTTAATCATCATTTTTTTTTTTACCGTGCTGAAGGATGCACGAACGAGTATTGAAATACCTCCTTCTATCCAACACTTTATGGGCGATATTGTTATTGACAAATGAAACACCTGCACCACCTTTTCAAAAAACTATGGCAGGTTAGGTAAAAAATTCCATTTTTTTATATAGTCTAACAAAATTTTCGACATGTCATTTCTATAATTTCAATCTTGTGTGTGCCTTAAAAAGCTATCAAATACCTTTTGTTTGTTTGTTTTTATAGTTATGCCTCCCAAGTCTGGATGCCAGATGAGGATTACATGAAACCTTATAAAAAGCCTATTTTTTACCCAGAAGATACAGACTGGAAACTGCCCCCATACAATCGTAAGCATTTTTCAATTTGAGAAGTTTCGTCTTTAATTTAATTTTAGGATAGGAAATCAAAAAGGAATTATTTTTGTATCAACCCATTCACACACGTGACCATATTTTTAAGTGCAATATTTATTTTCTAAATATTTAATAAATGTGTTTTGGTTGAAATCAGAGGGTTAATAGTAATTCATTAAACCCCATACTCATTAAATGTCCTATAGTTCGAGAACCTGAGGTTGAGAGGAACTTGCAGAATATTGTGATGAATTTTGGCCCTCAGCATCCAGCTGCTCATGGTGTGCTTCGTTTAGTTCTTACTTTGGAAGGTGAGACCGTCCTAAGGGCTGACCCTCATATTGGACTCTTACACAGGGGAACAGAAAAACTCATTGAGTACAAAACTTATGTTCAGGTACAATTTTTAAAATGCTTCTGTTTTATAGGCCTATAGTTTCTTTTTAAAATCACATTTTTTTTTTTAAGATTGTCAGTTTTTTATATTTATTGATCTTATACCATTATGAACTTAAACAGCAAGTAATTTTTACTTATGAATAATGATTTAGGATAATGTGTTGTCTTGTTCAACATTAGGATATATATCACGCCTTGAGACTTGATATCCATAAATGCCTAGGTAAAGCTAAATTTTATTGCACTAATGAATTTGTCCTGCTCCTTTTATAATCCTGAAACAGGCCCTGCCCTATTTTGACCGACTTGATTATGTATCCATGATGTGCAGTGAGCAGGCCTATTGTCTGGCCATTGAAAAGCTACTTAACATTGAGGTTCCACCAAGAGCCAAAATGATTAGAAGTAGGTGAACAATAAGTTTACAAAACAGATTAAAGAGAAATGTGACTTTTTTTTTTTCATATACACTATTTGAGCTACGGTACTATATCAAAAGCTGAAATCGTCCTAAAATAAAGCCATTTGTAGTGTATGAAATGAAATTACAATTTAAAATAATAATTTAAAAATAATTATTTTATAGATATTCCACTTGTGAGTTTTCTTTTGTTTTGCATGACTTTAATGAAAATCCACATAAATTTGATGTTTTTAGCTCTGTTTGGTGAAATTACTCGCATCCTCAATCACATCATGGCTATCGGAAGCCATGCACTTGATGTAGGTGCCATGACTCCACTCTTCTGGCTCTTTGAGGAGAGAGAAAAGGTGCTTTGATTTTGATTCCCTTTACTTCCCTTACTTGTCTGGTATAAGGTACCCTGTGCCTTGATTTGATTTGAATTCAATATTTTAAATACTCTTTTTAAATCCTTTTTATTAACTTAGCTTTTGTTAGTGGCTGGCCAAATCTTCAGAAGGCTAAGTGACCCACTTCCTTTCAAGCTATCAAGCTGCAACTTGTCACATAGACTCATTGCCGATAACAACACATTGTTTCAAATTTTGGGCCCAAACCCCCAAAAATCTTTTTTTTTAAAGGGAAGATGAAGGTAATATCATGATACTGTTTTCACGAAATAAATTTCCTGACAACTGCACTGAATGAGATTCTTATTTTGGCAAGTGCGTTTGGTGTGTAATATTTGCTTTTGTTTTCTGAGATATTTGGTGAAATAAATCTGCAATGTAAAAGTGGGTGGGTCATTAGGATATTATTATAGTTCAGAACAGTGATAAACAAAATATGAGCTTTTGCGCAGGAGGTTTGGGGTGGTGAGCACTAATTGGGATTCTTTAAAAGTTTATAAAGGATTTATAAGAAAAATTTGTTTTCAGGGATTGTTTAATTTTTTTATTAAGTCCAGCATAAAGATTTTATTATTTTTTTGTTAATCTGTTGCCATCACACATCAGTCTCAGTACACAGCCCTTATATTTATATTTTAGATGAAGTGTTTTTTCCTTGTGTAATTGTTTAAAACAGGTACTATGTGTTATTGATCCGTGTGGAGGGGGGTGTCTTAAGTCATCAGTATTCAAATGTCATTTTTGTACTCCTAAATGCCCCAATAAAAAGAACTGTTATTCTAAGTGCTTAAATATCATTTTCAGCTGATGGAGTTCTACGAAAGGGTGTCTGGAGCCCGCCTCCACGCTGCTTACTATCGCCCAGGTGGTGTCGCCTTGGTAAGACAGAGATCAAGCTATTAATAAGTGATTATTTTCAGTGTAAATTGATTTGAATTGGTATGTATTTCTTTCTCATAAAAATATTCTTGGTGATATGTCAAGCTTGGAATATTACTATTATTAGTCCTTTTCTTGCGAAGATAACCTAGAATAAATACATTCAACTTATATTTTTGTTTAAATTGAGGGAGAGTTGCAGATCTTCTCAGCTTAGGATCCTCCTAATGTGACATAAATCTACATGTATGTTGTGACCTCATGGTAATGTTGTCTGCCTCTCAGCCAATAGATAGGAGATTGAACAATGACCACATTAAACCACACAAATTGTCAAAGAGCTTGTTGCCATTGTCTTGTTACTCTCTCTTGCTGTATTGTCTAGTTACATTGTCTCATTACATTGTCTATTTACATTGTCTTGTTACATTGTCTCGTTACATTGTCAGCCCAGTAAAGGAGGTGCTAAAACCTGGAAAAAAAAAAAAAAAAGACAACTCATGAAGTTATAAGATGGTAGCCAACTTGACCAGGAAGATAAAGTAGCCTAATTGACCTCAGATTAAAAAAAAAGATTGTCTCTCTCATTTTAAAAAAAAAAATGGCTATAATCTTACCATTTAAGTTACAGCTGCCAGAACAACAATTTTTCAAAATTTATTCTCAAACCCATATTGTATGGTTCTCATACCTAAAGATGCTCCTGTCTAATTAATCAATCCTGCTCTTGACTGATCAAATGTAGTTGTTTGAATCATCGAGACGTCTCTTTGAAGGCTTGCAGATTTAGCATCCCATCCTAAAAATTCTGTTATCATCTACATGTAGTTGAGATTTGTTTTTGTCACCGGCTTTTCTTGGTTTTTAAACCTGTCTTAAAACCTGTAAAAAATTGTATGACAGGACATGCCTCTAGGCCTGATGGAAGACATTTATGAATGGGCCAGCAAGTTCAGCCAGAGGCTGGATGAAGTGGATGATCTCCTGACAGAGAACAGGATCTGGAAGGCCAGGTTAATTGACATTGGAGTCATTTCAGCAGAGGATGCACTGACCTACGGCATGAGGTAAGCCTGGCCATTTAGTAACTTTAGATTGGTGGTTCTCAAAGTGGGAGAGCTCTTGTATCGCTGACAGGCTTATGAGATTTAAGGGGGCGTTTTGTGACATCCAAAGCGGGAGCTGAGAGTCATGACGGGAATATTTGTTTTAGTTAAGATTAGGCTATATTTTGCTAAGTTTTGGCTTCAGTATAAAATATCTATCATGTTCTGCAATGTGGACATAGCCCCAGTGACACTTTTAGAGGCCCCCTGACAATTTACAGTTTTTGTTTTCTAGCTATTCAATTCACATTAAAATACCTCCTTTTACAAATTTGGGCCCCTTAAATATCCAAAGCCCCTGCTGTTGCAAGGGGTTCTTGACCCATAGGACGGCTCTGACTATGGAAGGTGGTTAAGTAGTTCATTATTTCATTTGCAGTGATGAAGTTTCTACCTAAGGACATAACAAAGGCATTGAGAAACTGCTATATCTTTACCAACCCTATATACATTCATTTCATTCTGAATAAATGACCAGACAAAAGAGTAAACTATGTAAAACCCTTGATAAAAATTATCCTTTTTATACCTGAAAAAGTAAAGATACTATGGATCTAATTGTTCAGTTGATTATAATTGAATTAATAAAAGTACAAAGGTTAATCTGTATTTTGTTTAAATTTTCAAATATAAGTTACATGTTGCATTTATCTACCATAGAGGGTTGAGTGAACTTTCCATCTTCAAGTACTTGTAAGTGGGTAAGACAGAGGGACGCCCAGGTCCCAAGTTTGAGAAAAATTGTGTGAACTGCTGCTTTAAATAATGCTTTTTTTTCCTTATTTTAAATGGGGGAAAAAATGGACCGAGTAGGAGCCACAGATGGTTAAATTCCTGGGGATTGCTGTCATAGCAGAGAAGTAGCTAATTGTAGATTACCAAAAGTGGGATTCTGATCATCAATTTTTTTATTTTTTTTAATTAGCAGCTAATATATCTATTTCAAAATGAATAAAAAAGATAATGCTTGTAATTTTTCTTCTGGAGGTATGTCATGATAACTTTTTACAGCACTTCTACTTCCTTTATATAGCATTTTGACAATATTTCAGATGTGAACAAACAAAATATTTAAAAAAAGGAATTACACATCTGGAAATGTAAACCTTTGTTCCTTAACTGAACAGCTCCAGCTGTTTAAGGGGTTGTCCCTTTAATCACTGCATACTCATTATTTTTGTTTCAACAGTGGCGTGATGCTCCGTGGCTCGGGGATCAAATGGGATCTTCGTAAGGTTCAACCCTATGATTCCTATGGTGAGATGGAGTTTGATGTCCCAGTTGGCAATAAAGGAGATTGTTATGACAGGTGCTGTGATATTTTTTGTAACCTCATCTATTTCACTTGCATTCGATTATTTTTAAATTGTGGTCTTCTTGTACAATAACTGTCTGTTAAATTTCTTTCTTTATACCATATCTTCTTGCCCTGAGAAACTGCTCCAAGGCAACCATTTTGTCCCAGCTACTTCACAAATTAGTTGCGTCATGGAAACCCACTGTATAAACCCTCTTAAAGGGCGTCCAACGCTTCCCCGGGATGGGTGGGGGAAGATATTAGGACGTAAATTCACCATCCCAACTCCTGAGAAAGTCGATCATGTGCACTCTGTGCAAACACAGTGTCGGACTGACCAAGTGTCTTTGGGTTGGGTCGGAACCCGATCAAGTGGACTCGGGTGGCGGCTTTCCTGGCAAAGAGACATCCCCAACGTGCCACTCCGCAGCTCGATACTGGGGTTAGTGGGGGTGCTTTGGGGAGGGTATAAATATCTTTAGCTCGATGGCCCGCTAACGCCATTTCTTAATGTGACATTTCAGTAGATTTGCAGAAATAAACAAATGACAAGATTCCTTTGAATGTGGTTCAGTCAAGTTATAATTCATGTTAGAATAGATTAATTTCAGTTTATTGTTACAAGTCATTCTGATATGTTTTCAGTTGACACTCCCATTGGTGCATTTGATGCTTGGAACCAAAATTCCAACTGTACATTCTTTACTTTGATTTCATCCATGCACCCAAAGGGGCAGTTATTGATATACCTTCGTGGCTTCTAAATTTCCAGATATTTGATAAGGATGGAAGAAATGAGACAAAGTTTGAGGATCATCCTGCAGGCCATGAACAAGATGCCATCAGGAGAGATAAAAACAGATGACAATAAAGTGACTCCACCAAGCAGAGCAGATATGAAGGTGTGTGATCTCCTGTACTTATACTGATATGTATATATATATATATATATATATATATATATTTATATCCAGAATAGAAATACAACCTTCCTTTTGATTGAAGTCTTACATACTGTGGTGAGCCATGTCTTGATGCAAAGCTGGGGAAGTACTTGAGAGAGAGGTGTCCTGCTTTCTGTCTCAGTAGTGATATTGTAAAAATGGGCTTGTGTGTGTTTTTAAAATCTCCATATGTTTGAATGTATTTCTGAATGTGCGGTCTTCTCCTGACAGGACTCTATGGAATCTCTGATCCATCACTTCAAGTTGTTTACCGAAGGGATCCAAGTGCCGCCTGGCTCAACCTATGCAGCTGTTGAGGCCCCCAAGGTAAGTCTGGCCAGCTCTGAGGCTGTGCAGGTCTGGTGTGCACCAAAGTGCTGGTGGATAGGGAAAATTGAGCCCTGGGAAAGAGAGATTATGTTTTTTATAGTCTATTAACTTGTAATTACAAAAATATTATGGGTTTGATGGTGAGGCACAAGACTATAGTTGAAGCACATACCAAAACATATATTTTTCACCCTGTCACATGTTTTCACCTTTAATGTTTTTGTTGTTTTCTTGTTTTTTTATGTGTTCACTTCTGAATAAAATAACAAATAATTCTCTCTTATTTGTCTGCATTGATTGACTGTAAAAAGAGGCTCTTTTGATTTCCAGGGTGAATTTGGAGTGTACCTTGTATCAGATGGTACTAACAAACCTTACAGATGTAAAATTAAAGCACCTGGATTTGCACATTTGGTGAGGGTTTTTTTTGTTGTTTTTTTGTGTGCTAACTCTAAAACAGCGGTTCTCCACCTGTTTTTAAAAACATAGGAAAGCACATATTTATGAAGTAGAAACGATAATAATTTTATGGTTGGGGGTCACAACAACATGAGGAACTGTATTAAAGGGTCGGGGCATCAGGAAGGTTGAGAACTACTGCTCTAAAAGATGTGTTTAATTTTGTGCTTCATTGAGTCAGGCTAGTCATTTTTTTAAATAGTTCAAAATCATATATTATTTAAGTATAATTTTTCCTTCAAATCATGAAACTTTAAGTATTCAGAAAAGTGATGATCAATAGCATAAAATATAAATTTGTAACAATTCCCATTATTTATTTTTGTTATACCAGAATTTTCTTACCGTAATCTGGTCCTGGTGTGTAATTTTATTATTTTTCCTTCAAAGGCTGCTCTAGACAAGTTGTCCAAAAAGCACATGTTGGCTGACGTTGTGGCCATTATAGGTAAGTAGTTGTTTAAAGTTAGCCTTGTTGTAGCAAAACTGCAAGCAAGATTGATATGTTGGTTATCTGCATGGAGATTTTTTCAAGATAAATAATCATGAAAGATCTAGTATTGAATTCAGTCCTGCAACTGATTATAAAGGTGACAATCTCCATGGTGCATGTTGTGGACGTGTGGCAAGCTGGGCCACATTAGTAGGGGTTACCGGTAATTTGTTTGAAAGAAATTTCACCGATGGAAAATTGATAGACGGAAATTTGGTCGAATCTTTTTTTCAGTACACACGTTAAAATTTTCATCAAATTTCTTTTTGAACGCACTATCCTATATAGTAAAACAAATTATACCATTCAAAATGAAATTTGGTGAAAATTTCAGCATGTGAACTGAAAATAAGATGCGACCAAATTTCCTTTCGATCATATGTTCGTCTATCAATTTTCTGTGACAAAATTTCTTTCAAACAAATTTCTGGATATGCATTAGTTGGAGGTGAGCAGTCAACTCTGTAGCTTTTTTTAAAGGTGCTTTAGTGTGTTATGATCGATGTGTTGCCGATAAAAGCCTTTGACAGAATGTAACTACTAGTACAGAACGATCTTAAATAATACCACAGTATTTAAACCTTTGCAGTGTCTATGAACCAGAAAAGTATGGTTATGCATTGTGTACTCGTTGCACTGATGTGTATTTATTTGTAATAAAGTGAAATGACAGTGTCGGTAGTCAAAGTACCCACTCTATTGAATGGGCCAAATAATGAGTGTATGACTGTAATCTGGCACAAACCTGTTATTAAACATATATCACTATTTACAATTTCTGTTAAACTGCCTAATAACCTAGATGTGTTGGGTTTGAATTTATACTAGCTGTCACCAAGTATGGGCAGTGAGTAGGTTGGAATGGACCAAAAATTAAAGCTCAGTTAGGCAGCAATTTCTGGATAAACCCTAAAAGAATGTCCTGAATAACAAAGGCAGCAAAAATGGTATAAAAAAAAATTACAAGTCTATGCGTACACACAAAAACATAAGATAGGTGTCAGCACCAACAATTACACCAAAGAAAGTTATGGTTTAAATCCTTTATTCAAATGGTTTTAACCAAGGAAAGAAGAAGGATGCATAAGAAGAAAAATTTGTTTGGCCCTAGCCATGAATTGATCAAATAAAATTCAGAACTGTCTGTGCTATCAGAATGATGTCATGGATTGTCTACCTGCTTCTACTTCTATGTAACCTGTCTAGTAATGATTCAGTAAAGGATCTGTCAGAATATAAATTACCGAAATATTATTATTTAACAAAATTTGAGCATCACTAACCCATGTATTTTACTTGCTACAGGTACACTTGATATTGTGTTTGGAGAGGTTGACAGATAAAGACCTAGCTGTGGAGAGGTTGAAAGAGAGAGACCTAGCTGTGGAGAGGTTGACAGACAAAGACCTAGCCTTGATAGATAAAGATTTAGCTTTGAAGGAAGATTTCAGAATGTACATTTGACAGTACAACATTGGATTAATGACGTCAATAGGAGTCTCCGTGTTTTTTTAAATATGTAAATAATTATTAATGAAAAGAAGAAAAAAAAGAAAGACCTGTCCGTGAATTTATTCCTCATATGTTTGAGATAAGTGTTGGACTGAGATTGTATTGTATTGTATGTTTTTGAAATCTCAAGGAATATTCATAGAGCTGACCAGGAATTATATATATTTTAAAAAAAAATCATATTGCAATCTTCCTAAGAGATTAATTTTGATCAATTAGATGTTTCCAAAATGTTTTTACATTTCTTTAAAATTTATTTTAGTTTATATTTATTTTTTCTTTCAATAAAAATTAATTTCAGGAATATAAAATATCAGAATTTAGGATAATTGAGAAAAGAGTGTTCTCCCCTGCCATCTTTTCTAGATAATAATTTTGATTTGTTATAGCTGTGAGGGTAGGTGAACAACCAATGTGAACATCCTCACAATAGCATTTGCAGCTTAATTTATCAGACATGTGATATGGCAGATTTAGTTTTTATTGTTTGTAAAAAAAAATTAAAAATTGTCAAAGTTTTGTTCTCAAATGAAACCAATTTACTACTCAAGTTTGTCATTGTTTATTTACGTTCAGATTTGAGCAAATTAAAAAAAAAAAAATTCTATCTACTTTGGTTTTTCAAATTGATCTTTTTGTTCTTTGTTCTTATCAAACTTTTGTTTGTAAATGATTCTTGTCTCTGTTTTAATAAGGGTACATAGAGGAGGCCACATCCTAAACCTGCTAAGTAACAAGTTTGATTTTGAGAAAAAGCGGTTTTTGTAAATTAACTTTATATAGCGGATTTATAAATGATGAAGATGATTGAATGATGAGTACTTTAAAAAATGCTTGTGTGCATTCTATTTTAGCATGCTCACAGCACTCTGATGCCCTAAATTCTATTTAAAGAAAAAAGTCTTTAAATGGTTCTTAAATGGCTTTATCATTTTCAATGTCCCCCAAAGAGTGAGGCAAACTGTCCCATGTATATCTTTGCTATGATATTTTTGACTTAAATGAAGCTTTTGATTCATTACATACATAAAATAATAAACTAGCCAAATTACTGTAGACCGACCCTTAATATACCAGCCAAAAATCGATAACACATTTTATTTCTAAAAAGTGGCTTAACGGGTTTGCAAGTGGCCTCCTTAAATGATATCCAAGTTAGTTGTCAAGTCATTGGACTAGAGTGTTGAAATAGTGTCAAGTCATTGGACTAGAGTGTTGAAATAGTGTCAATTCATTGGACTAGAGTGTTGAAATAGTGTCAAGTCATTGGACTAGAGTGTTGAAATAGTGTCAAGTCATTGGACTAGAGTGTTGAAATAGTGTCAAGTCATTGGACTAGAGTGTTGAAATAGTGTCAAGTCATTGGACTAGAGTGTTGAAATAGTGTCAAGTCATTGGACTAGAGTGTTGAAATAGTGTCAAGTCATTGGACTAGAGTGTTGAAATAGTGTCAAGTCATTGGACTAGAGTGTTGAAATAGTGTCAAGTCATTGGACTAGAGTGTTGAAATAGTGTCAAGTCATTGGACTAGAGTGTTGAAATAGTGTCAAGTCATTGGACTAGAGTGTTGAAATAGTGTCAAGTCATTGGACTAGAGTGTTGAAATAGTGTCAAGTCATTGGACTAGAGTGTTGAAATAGTGTCAAGTCATTGGACTAGAGTGTTGAAATAGTGTCAAGTCATTGGACTAGAGTGTTGAAATAGTGTCAAGTCATTGGACTAGAGTGTTGAAATAGTGTCAAGTCATTGGACTAGAGTGTTGAAATAGTGTCAAGTCATTGGACTAGAGTGTTGAAATAGTGTCAAGTCATTGGACTAGAGTGTTGAAATAGTGTCAAGTCATTGGACTAGAGTGTTGAAATAGTGTCAAGTCATTGGACTAGAGTGTTGAAATAGTGTCAAGTCATTGGACTAGAGTGTTGAAATAGTGTCAAGTCATTGGACTAGAGTGTTGAAATAGTGTCAAGTCATTGGACTAGAGTGTTGAAATAGTGTCAAGTCATTGGACTAGAGTGTTGAAATAGTGTCAAGTCATTGGACTAGAGTGTTGAAATAGTGTCAAGTCATTGGACTAGAGTGTTGAAATAGTGTCAAGTCATTGGACTAGAGTGTTGAAATATAGAATGTTGATTCGTTTCATTGGTATGAGACCAGTGATGTTATCAAATATTTGTGTACTCATTAGTGGTATGAGACCAGTGATGTTATCAAATATTTGTGCACTCATTAGATTTCTGGATCCAGAGAAGAATGCATGTAACAGGATATTGAACAAAATACAAATTAACTTCATAGATTAATTGCATTAGTAAATCATTTTTTGGGGTTACAAAAATCGATAAACTTTCCACCTAACACAAGAACACAAGAATGCTTGTCTTATAAAAAAAAAGTTTATAATGAAAGCAGCTTCAAAATTACTAACATGATTAACCAAAAGTTTCTGTGCCTCCCTAGTTGACCAAAGGTTTCTGTGCTAACATGATTGACCAAAGGTTTCTGTGCTAACATGATTGACCAACGGTTTCTGTGCTAACATGATTGACCAACGGTTTCTGTGCCTCCCTAGTTGACCAAAGGTTTCCGTGCCTCCCTAGTTGACCAAAGGTTTCTGTGCTTCCCTAGTTGACCAAAGATTTATGTGCTAACATGATTGACCAACGGTTTCTGTGCCTCCCTAGTTGACCAAAGGTTTCCGTGCCTCCCTAGTTGACCAAAGGTTTCTGTGCTTCCCTAGTTGACCAAAGATTTATGTGCTAACATGATTGACCAAAAGTTTGTGTGCCGCCCTAGTTGACCAAAGGTTTCTGTGCTCTCCTAGTTGACAAAAAGATTTGTGTGCTGTCCTAGTTGACAAAAAGGTTTGTGTGCTGTCCTAGTTGAAAAAAATGTTTGTGCACTGTCCCAGTTGACCAAAGTTTTCTGGACTACCTTAAAACTATGTGTAAATCGGTTCCGTTCCGCCCCTATTGAAGGGACTTGTGTGCTTTCTTGATTGACCATCCAGAATGTCGATAGGTGTCTGTACATATTACATTTAGTCCATAATGATAAGATAATTTTTGTTTTAATAAAACTATTTTTATTAGAGAAATTGTGAGGTGTAATTAACCCCAGTGGCGTAGGTAGGGGGTGGGGGTTGGAGGGTGCTGGTCCACCCTGTGTGGCACATTTTTCTTTATATAGAGTGGCGGCAAGAATACCAACATCACTTTTTTTGTGTGGAAGGGCCGGCAAAATATTCGGGTGGCACCCACCCTTGTTAAGCCCCTTCTTAACCCCCACCACTGGGTCAAATCGTGTGTTCTCGCCCCTCATCTATCTCATTAGAGGAGAAAACTGAAAGGTGTTTGCGATCGAGTTTAAATATTTAATAAAAGTCCTATTACGAGAAGAATACCTACCTAGCTATCTTAAAACTTATTCAACGCAGATTTCGTAAATTGGCCATTACGGTTGTTGGAAGTGCAGAAGTTAAGCTTGGCGCGGAAACTTGTATAAATCTTTTCAGTTTTCTGTCGTTTTTTTTTTTTTCGTTTTTTTAACGTAATTTGAACTAATCAGGCTAGACTTATTTACTCGACCATCAGACTAGACTTATTTACTCGACCATCAGGCTAGACTTATTTAATCGACCATCAGACTAGACTTATTTACNGGAAACTTGTATAAATCTTTTCAGTTTTCTGTCGTTTTTTTTTTTTTTCGTTTTTTTAACGTAATTTGAACTAATCAGGCTAGACTTATTTACTCGACCATCAGACTAGACTTATTTACTCGACCATCAGGCTAGACTTATTTAATCGACCATCAGACTAGACTTATTTACTCGACCATCAGACTAGACTTATTTACTCGACCATCAGGCTAGACTTATTTACTCGACCATCTTAAAACGAATTTCTTAATGTTTGGTCTCCAAATATAACACAAGTTACGCAACACTCGACAATTTCCGTCTTTTTCTCCGACACACCAGCGTATCAAACTAGGAGTGCAATGGTGATGACTGCACACGGCACTGGTAATTATCATAGCTTAGTGGAGACCGCCCGGCCATCCATTAGTGAAGTTTGCAGACACATCAGAGGGCCGCGTTGGCTGCGGCGCGAATCATTCGGCCACGGTTGTTTTTGGGCCGGCACGAGTAGTGTGACGAATCATCGCGGACATGGCTGGGAGGAAGGTGTTTTCAGATAGCATAAACAGAGGGGTGAGGGGTTGGGGGGGGGCGCAAAGGCGCTGGTGTCAGAGGGAATGGGGGCTCGAACAAAGGTTGAGCCGGGGGGAGAGGGGCATATTTTATCCACCGGGTCCGGGTATCTTGAGACAATACCCGGCGGATCCGGGTTATATGTTTTTTAAAGTTATCTTCTCATTTTCAATAACACTCACCCGCCCCCTTTCCAATGTGGTTAGGTGAAGAATCAGTAGCCATGTATAGAACCAGAAGCCATGTATAGAACCAGTAGCCACGTATAGAACCAGTAGCCACGTATAGAACCAGTAGCCACGTATAGAACCAGTAGCCATGTATAGAACCAGTAGCCACGTATAGAACCAGTAGCCATGTATAGAACCAGTAGCCATGTATAGAACCAGTAGCCACGTATAGAACCAGTAGCCACGTATAGAACCAGTAGCCATGCATAGAACCAGTAGCCATGTATAGAACCAGTAGCCACGTATAGAGCCAGTAACCATGTATAGAACCAGTAACCATGTATAGAACCAGTAGGTCTCAAAATGGCATTAAATTTGAAGGCTTCCAAAAACTAATGGCCTACTAATATAACCCTAGCCCAGCGGTTCTCAACCTTTTTTTTTAGTGCCGCGACTCCTTTATAATATGAGCCACAATCAGAATCATACCTTAACAACTGAGAAATACGTGTTGAGAATAATATTTTTAAAAAGAGGGGAGGGAGCATTTTTCTAAAGATAAAATGGTGTTGTTACTGGAATTGTAATCTGCCGGAAGCAGGAATTAAGGCTGGGTAGAGGGTTCCTTAGAGGACGCTATAAGTCATCCCCCCCCCCCCCGGAATTTTTTTGATACTTTTAATTTGGGCCCAGACAAAATAAA